CCATCTTAATGACCACCATCATCACCCTCCTCAGAAACGCTCAACCATGTTCATCAACCCGAGGACGAACACTTGTTGTTGTTGAAAACCTATTTTATCCCCTTACCTAACATTTTTTATTTGTACCTATCTTATTCTTCTATCTATTTCTTTCATTTTCATTATTGGAATTTATTTTGTTTGGTGGTTGTGAGACTGGTTTTAATGTAATGTTTTGACACTGATTTCCAATTTCTAAAACATTGGCTTTTGAATCCCGGTTTTTACTCAAAAAAAGTCGTAAAAAAGTTTCGGTCATTTGTCCTCTTCGGGTCGATGTCTTTGTTTACATCATTTTTTGCCTGCAACGCATAGGCGTCAATGCCTTTCTGGTGCTCTTCTCTCCTCTTCTCTTTTCTGGTTGTGATCACACTCTTGCATTATCACCTCCTGTCACTGCCATTGTCTGGTGCTGATAAGTGACAAATAGAGAGAAGTACCTTTTACCTCGATGTGTGACGCCCCAGTGTAAAAAATTAGCGGCAGCAGTAGCCAAAGTAGAAACGCTCAGTGAAATACGGGGCCTCAGCTCAAGCGCCGAAAATCTTTTTGATGAAGGAGAAAGTAGCCATCAACAAGTACCTCATTTGTTGGTTGTGATCACCATCATCACCATCATCACCTTCTAAACTATCACCCTCAAAGACCTCGTTTTCGATGGCCGCCGCCTTTCAGCTGACGCCCATCGCGGAGAACCTCCGCCGAGAGGAGCTGGTCCTGCAGATCGCCGACCGCCTTCAGCTGATCCAAACGCTCGCCGAGACGCTCTTTGACCGGGTCGACTCGAGGCTGACCGCCGTATCGGCTCGTCTGGAGGACATTGACCGGCGGNAGGAGCTGGTCCTGCAGATCGCCGACCGCCTTCAGCTGATCCAAACGCTCGCCGAAACGCTCTTTGACCGGGTCGACTCGAGGCTGACCGCCGTATCGGCACGGCGGAGACGGTGGACGGGCTGCTCGCCGATGATCGAGGCTACTCGCTGGAAGAGGAGCTCAAAAGGAGGCTAGCTGCGAAGCCAAACTGCTCGGCTAAAAAGTACGAGCAGATTAGCAGCACGCACATTCCTTACGACGATGACGCCAAGGTCAAGTCACAGTTCTTCATCTACGACAAGGTGCCAAATGTGAGTTCGATTTCGATTTCTATTTCATCATCGATTTCTAAAACACTTTTCCTCTTCTTTATAGAAACGCCTCATTCCCGACCAGCTCTCCGACGAGGCCATTCCCTGGGGGTCCATCACCAGCCTCAGCTCACTTCTGCTCTTCAACTCTTCTGTCAACGCCTACACCATCGATTAGCACGCTCAGCTGGGAAGAGGCGCCAGCTCTCGAGGTGCTCGAAAAAGAGGCGGAAGGCCTCAATTGCTGGCCAGCAGCGACTTACCTGATTCAGCCTCTCTGAACGCCGTGCTTCAGTCCACCACCACCATCGAAAACCCGCTGAACTTTGCCCTCTCCTTTCAGGTAAGTGAACATGTTTTATGTTTTGATTTTTACTTGCCCTCTCTCGACTCAAACACTTGTCTAGAGGTATTTTTCCAAGTCCAAGTGGGACTCGTTTCAATTTTCTATGACTTTCAATGACTTTGTTTTAACAATTGATGTACCGTGTTCATCAGCGTAAAATGTACAGTGATGTACCCGGTGCATTGAAAACTTAAAGTTTTTAATTATTCAAAATGACAAACAAAAATACATGAACTAAAAAAATGAGTCTAAAAAACTAGTTACCTTTTTTGGGCAGTGTAGCAAAAATAGTCTTTGCGACTTTGACTAAATCGAGCTCATGCTCAATTTCGTCAATGTGTTCCTCCAAAATTTCATCACGGTTGGATTCGAAAAAAGAGTTAAACTCTTCGTTATCGTCATCTTCGTCATCGTCATTTTCGTCATCGTCATCTTTGTTATCGTCATCTTCGTCATCTGTTTCCGAAAAGCTTCGTTTTTTGCCTTTAGTCTAAAAATTAAAAAATGTTTTTGAAAACAATTTCAAAATTTCAAACTAAACTTTTTGTTACCTTTTCGTCATAATCTTGTTTGACAGCAGTGGTATTCGGAAAATTGAGATACGATTTATTTTTAGCCTTAGACAATGCCAGCCTAGAAATAAAAATAAAAAAGATTGGTCACTTTTTCACACATGTGCACATTTTACACTATTGAACATTGTAGATTGGTGTACAATGTTCCCAGTCATAAAAACTTTTTAAAACTTACGTTACTTTAGTTTTGGGATTTGCCAATGAACGAGAAACTCCCGTCACTGAAAATCCAATGAAAGCCTTGTAGAGCCAGTATGCTCCTACTTTGCGCTGTTCTTCGATTGTTAGTTTGACTGGTGACTTAAAAATTCCTGTTTCAGAGTTTGTCAAATTGTTCATGCTTAAAGTTGTAATTAAAATTGAAGATCTGGTTGATGCTTCAGTATCAGAAAGGCCGTGAAAAATTTGAAACATTGATGACAGTTTGCCAGACTGTTCAATTTCCAAAATTTTCTGTTCTTTTGCGTTTCCCTAAAATGATCAATTACAGTAAATACAACTTTTTAATATTTAGCAACTTACCGACAAAACCATATTGCGAGTTTGTTTTTCACTTGAAAAAGTTTCCTTTCCAATTCCTTTGTTGCAGTAAAATATTGAAGAAACAAAAAGTTTGAACTTTTCAAAATTGATTTTTGGAAAATCTGGTATCATTCCGATCAGGTCGTCAGCAATTTTCGGATCAAGAAGAAAATAGACAAATGAAGAAAGTTCATCATTGTCTTTGATTTTGCCTTTGTTTTCACTGAGAGTTGTTTCAATAAGTCGGGCTTTCTCCCAGTCGAATTGTCCAGAGCCAATCTCCTGAATTTCTTTACAGTAGAATAAATTTTTTGGCTTTACTTCAGTGGTTGCTGGTGGACTCTCGTTTAAGTCATCATTTTCATCAAATGAAGTTCCTTGAGGAGAACCCATTTTCAATTTGGCAATAATTAACTTTTTCATCGTAGAGTCAATGTTTTCCAGTTGTACAAACTTGCAAATGTTGATGTTGTAGTGCACGTGAGCTACATGCTTAAGAAAAGAATTTTTGTTTGCAGTTTTAAAAAAACAGTCCTTCTCTTGACAAACAAATTTCTTTTCATCGTGCACCTGTTTCTTGTGATCCTTGAGAGAGCGCACCAATTTTCCACATTCATCGCATTCAGTTGCTTTGCTTAAGTCTTGAGCTTGTTCAATTCGAACTGCATTTGCGAAAATTTCATTTTCAAACTTTATCATTTCTTCGTTTTCTTGAATAAACTTGTCATGTTCTTTCCTTTCAATTTTGTGGATTTTTTGAAGATGCTTTTTTGCGTTTAGACGGTTTCCAAACTGTGCCTTTTTCAGGCATTTGCACACGCATTTGTATGGTTTCCACGTCTTGAAATGGGTGCGGTAGTGTGTCTTTATGTTGTTAAAGTTTCGATCACTATATTTGCAGTTGGTAACAGGACAGTTCCAATTGCCATTTGAAAGACGAACAATTTTCTCAATCCCTTTGATCTAAATGAAAATTATCAGCCAATTTTAAAAATAGTTTGTTCAATATGTAACTGTTTACATTGTACAACAACGCACATTATCCGTAGACGTACATTGTACAATGAACGCATTCGCACATACCATTTTGTGAAATTTATTGCTTGATGAGCCTTGCTTAGCAGTGAGCGTTGAGGCGGTGTCAGAAGAAGCCATTCTTGCAAAAATTGATGCTAGAGAAAAAGATGCGACTGAAGAAAGATTGTTTAGAGTTGAATCACAAAAGCAACAAAGCCGAGTCAGCAGTCAAAAAAATTGTTCGAAAAATGTTTGCAGTTTTCGACAACTTTCGCAATTTTTTTTAAAAAATGATTTTGACAATGAGTTGACAATTTTTTGCTTTTTTATTAATTTTAGTCAAAAGAAACTTATTAAAATACACGTATCATTAAGTTGTTTTAATACTGAGTAAGGGCTTTTTTGCACAAATTATAAAGCAAACAAAAAAGCAACAGTTTTAATTTTTATCATGAAAAAACAAAAATTATTTAGCTTTAAAATAATTCAAAATGGTGTTGCTTTGCGTGGAAAACTTGCTGGTCTTTTTCTTTTTGTTAGGAAAATCATTTTTGATGTTTTTGCTGCTGTTGACTGGAACCACTTTGTCGTCACCATTATCCAGTGTTTTGCTAACGATTGCCGGCTTGACGATGTCAACACTAGGTTGCTGTGAACTGGATGAACTGCTAAAAATACCAATAATTAGTCAGCACAACTAATAAACTAAATTAAATACAACTCAAACTCACGTTGACATAGGAGTATTTTTGACTTGACTTGACTTGACTTGGGTTGACAAAGGGCGAGTTGTGCCATTCAATGAAAAATAAATAAAAGCCTTATACAGCCAATAAGCTCCTAATTTAAGGCGATCGTTTAACGACAGTGTAACAGGCGACACGTAATGACCTCTTTTGATATTAGTCAAGTTGCCAAGTCCCAGCGTTTCTATGAGGATGGATTCTCGGGTTTCCGCCTCAGTGTCCGAAAGACCACAAAAGAACTGGCACACAGCAGCTTTTTGACCAGTTTTTTCAATGTCTAAAATTTTCTTTTCTTTGTCATTATCCTAAAATAACACACAATTTATGTAAACTAAATCATTTTTAAAACACAAAAAACTTACCGGAAACTTGATTTTTTCATGGTCAAACAAGCGGTTATGTTTGCCTTTTCCGCAATAAAAAATAGCCAAAATAAAAATGATAAATTTTTTCAAATCAATCACTCCTGATTCTGGTGAAACTTTAAACAAGTCATGAAGACGTTTAGGATCTAGCAGAAAGTAGACATAAGAATGCATTTCATCTTCATCTTTGATTGGGCCTTTGTTGTCATTGAGAATTGTTTCGAGAAGTTTGGCTTGCTCCCAGTCAAACTCTCCGTTGACAATGTCTTGAATTGCTTTGCAATATGAAGATATGTCAAAGTCAGACATTATAGCGCAAAAATAGTTGATAATGAGAAGTTGGAAAAAGAATGAAGACAAAGTTTAAACTTGGTGTTTTCTTTTAATTGTTGCTGGTTACAGTTACTGTAGCGGCACAATGTACACGTCAGCACAATGTACACGTCAGCACAATGTACATGTCAATACCAGTTTTGATTAACTGAGGTAAAACGCTAGTAACTTTTTGGCAAATGCCAGGAGGGCGCTAAAAGCAAGCCCAGCTGACAAAAACATGATTAGAAAAACAGTTGACATTCGCTTATGAAAAAAAACATCGAGAGTGAAAAAATTTCTGGATAGTAATGGGTGCTAATTTTTGTCTTTGTCCATTGGTCATTCTAGTACACTTTTGTTTACTGGTTTCATTTAAGGGGGGACACCGCGCAATTTTTTACTGCTTTTTCGAATTTTGATTTTGGGGTGGCTATGATGTTCATGAAAGATGTACTTAATAAGGATTGTTAAGAATTTCATGTAGAACAGTTTTGTGTTGATACTATGGTCCTCCGATGACTGAGCAGCCATCAGCAACGATCTAAGTTTCTGAACACAACGGTAACCACATCGGTATCCTAGGAAAGTGGCATGGCTTGATTGAACTTGCCAAATGAAAGGTAACAAAAAAATCT